CTCACAGATGTAGCATGCTAGAAGGTACCCAAACCAGAAAACAGGCAAAGCCCAATGTGGTAGGCACAGGCCCCCTCACCTGGGCCCCCTTGTCCACCTCCTACACGTCACACCTCCACGCGGTCACACCGCCACATGTGCGTGCATGAGTGCAGCCCTGCAGGAGCCAGATCACCTGCTTGCTCCTACCCAGGGTTAGCCTGGAAGTGCACATCTCTGCCCAGAGCCCCACCTGTCCTGCAGGGGGGAGTGGCCCGGGATGAGGGTGGTCTCACAGATGGTGCCTGTGCCAGTCACTCTTGCTCCTGTAGTGTCCCCAGGGAATCTGTGTGGCCCTCCTGGGAGCTCCTGGGGGGTGGCCTTGCTGATGTGATTCCCTTTGCTGCCTGGGCCTGGGTGAAGAAGGCTTCCCATCCTCATGAACTCATCTGAGAATGTTTGGCTTTTTCAAAAGAACTTTATTAAGAAACAGGAAGGATAGAAAATACACAACCGAAGTAATGGAAGAGTTTACAGCACATGTGCTTTATCCCATGAAAGCCCCACCTGGGCTGGGCTGGCACAATGACTGGGCACTCACACCTGATTTCTTGCCTTCAACCCTGTCTGTCTTGGCTGCTAAGGCAGCCAGTTCCAGCTTTCTCTGGAGACAAGTCAGGCCGCCTCCCAAACCTTCCTTATGTCCTCAGCATGCCCAGGCCCTCCTCTGCCTGGTCCCTGACATTCCTTGGCCAGCATCCCAGCGGAGGTCTCATCTGGCTTTGCTGTAGCTTCCCTACCCCTCCAATCACAGAAGTCCGTGGGCCCTAGAAGACCTATTTTTGCTCCTGTCCTGATCCACTTAATTAAACTATATTTACGTTCTGCTACCTTCAGTCAAGACACCTGTTTTCCTAAGCCTGCATCTGAACTTGGTCTTCCTCCTGCTAAGAGCACCTTCCTGAGCACTCTCTCTGGCAGCCTCTGCCCCAGCTCGTCCAAGACTGCCCTCTCCCCAGCCCTGTCCAGTCTCCCACTTCATTTACGGGCAGCTCTAGCTCTCAGCTTGCCTGCCAGGGGAGACGGTCAAATACCATGATCTTGGCGCCCACCTGTCAAACCCTGCCCAGCTCAGGTCACCAACCTCACCAATTTCCTCAGCAAACTTTTGACTTCTCTCTTGCACTTCTGTCCTTTGGAATTTTCTCTCTGCGGATTTAGAATATAACATTGCTTTATAGATACACTAACAGACTACAGTGGAAGAAGAGCTGTCCCGCCACCCCCCCAATTACATTTTCTCTAAACTATCAAAAGATTCGGCCACTCTTGCCATTTTTAACTTTTTCTAAATGTCTATGGTTATGGGTCCTTAATCAGTGCAGTCTACTTCTCAGCTGGCTTACAGGAATGGCATCGAAGCTGGCCAGTGGTCCCTTCCGCCCCTGCAGTCACTGTTGTGTCTTCGAATATGGCTTCTTCCAGTAACTGCCGGAAAGCAAAACAAAACAGTCTCCTCCAAAGATGTTCTTGATCTTTTTCCACACAACACGTACACGTAACATCCCCATACAAGCTTATACCGACGGAGGAGTATTTGGTCAGTACAAGTCAGGCAAACTTTTTCCTAACCAACACCTTGGATATGAACTTTATGGTGCTCAAAATACTCTTCTACACTTCTCATCCAATCCTCACAGCAACCCTGACGCACAAACCAAGGGTCCAAGAGGTTAAGGAACCAGACCAAGTCTACACAGCTATTTAGTGGAAAAGCCAGCGCTCAACACAGGCTTCCCCTGTCTCATTCTCTTCCCCTTTTTTGGTTCAAAGAATACAAAAGAGGTTTTTCGCTTCCCTCCTCCCAACCGGAATGGAATTCTCCTTTCCCCAGGCGGTGCACAGCCTGGGCAGTTCCAAACAGAAAAAGGAACAATTTATCAAGTTAATTGTCATAATCCCGAGGAGGGGGGGGACAGGGCATGTTGTTGTGTCTTTCACGATGTTCCCAATTTCTTTGCACCTGGAGTTTAACTGAGAACCCCTTCCCTGCGTGCCTAGTGCTTTCTGTGGGATTCGCAAGGATTCCCAGGTCACTCAGCTAAGGTGTTAATTTTACCTCCAAATCATGCTGATGCGACACTTCCCATCCATCTTTCACATTTTGCCAGTGTCCCATGCCTTCTCACCTCTACCTCCTTATGCAGAAAATCTAGTAGTTTCCTTCATCTTCCAATACCCACTTCCCAGGATTCATATAGCTTCCTGGGAAGCTCCGTGGTTCCCTTATCTCTAGAGCACTTATGGGACTGTTTTTACAGCCGGGTGACTTTTCATTTCTGAAAGTCTCTATTCTTGCTTTGCCCCCTAGGTGGGCCACATGGCTAGAGCCATTTCCTCAGCTGGGACCTCTGTCCGTTGCTCCCATAAAACTCTGGAGAGCTGCTGTTCCAACCCGAGAGTGTACAGCCCCCTGCAGTCCACGTCTCCCAGTTCTCCCTGCCACACACACAGAAGCAGAAATAGAAACTCAATCTCTTCCCTTTTTCTGCCAGGGAGCCCAGCCTTGGGAGGCATATGGTGGACTGTCCCTACAGTGCCCCCTACTGGAGATTTCCCACATGCCAAGGTTTTAGACAGCTTGGTTGGCTGGGATATGACATTTGAGGTGGGAAATCTCTGTAGAGTCACACCACTGTCCTGTCTCATCCTTTTCCAGGTATTAATTCACTTCACAGATACGTATTGAGCATCTACTATGAGCTGTCAATATGTCAGCTCTACAGTTAGAGCTGCAATGAAGACAGGCAGCGTCTGTGCCCTCGTGCAACCCATCCTATACTAGTTGGTTCTGTAGAACTTGGTTTTCAGTTGGTCCGAGTTATTTGATCAACTCAATGACACTTCCCTTGCCTTGCAGACACTCCACAATGATCCGATCACCTGAGGGGACCACCTGACCTCTGCAGACGCTCCCAGAGCAGTTCCTTGGTCTGTGGCCCTGCCCAGACAGGCCCCTGCTCTGAGAGCCCCGACCAGCTGGGATCCCCCTCCCTCGCCCCTGCCTCTTCTCCTGTCAGACAATCTCATTTGTTCTGACACATTCACTCCCAAAGCCAGTAGTTATTCTTGAATATCATTTGCACAGGTATATATCCTTGAAGTAAATATTCAAGCATATATGTTGTGTAATGGATAATAACTGAAGCAGAAATGTACATATATGAATAATAGCACAAAGTAACTCCCAAATCACTATTTACAAATTCTGAACCTATTTCCACTAGGTAACTATTCAGACTGACTTTACCCTTGTTGCTGTCACTATGTGATCGTAATTCCAGATTCTCCATTTTTTCTTGGATTATGATTCTATCACACAACTATTTCTTCCCAATACTGTTCATCATTGTCACATATGAAGGCAACAGCTCATTCCTTTAACAGACCACAATCTACTCAGCTATTACCCCATAGTTGAGCAGTTTCCAGTTAATAACTATAGTATATAGGGCAGCCACAAATATCTCTTTGCGAGTATTTTTTCTTTGAAATTATTTTCCCAGAACGTATTCCCCAAAGTGAGATAACATATTTTTACAATCATTTTTTTTCGCCCTCTTGTCAAGTATTGCCAAACTGTTCTCCGGAAAGCCACATCTTATAGTGCCAGGAGTCTATTTCTCCACAATATATTTTTAAAAATTTATTTTTAACAAACGCAAGTGGTTTCGTTTTTTGGTTTTTCATGTTACTAGTCCTCACCTGTGTGCATTTCCTCCGGGATGCACTGCCTATTGGGGTCTTTGAGCGAATAGACTCAGTCACTGCATATATCAGAGACTTAGCTTTTCTGCATCAAATCAATTCTACGTCGTTTTCTCATCTTCTTGGTTTTCTTATAATCTTCGTTATTCTTTGCTACACATACATCTTTAGTTTTTATATAATCAGTCCACCCAGACTTTGACGATTTCCCACACTGTTCTGATAAACAAGAAAGGACCTGCACATCCCATCTGGACTTGGCCAAAATCCCTCTGGTTCCCATGAACGCGCCATCATCCATGACCGCTGCCTGAAGATCCCCTTCCATAGTCTCTCAACAGCCCCTGGCTAAATACGTCCTCGCAGCCTACTCAGCCACCTCACTTCCACCGCTGGCACCACCCAGAAAAAGGACCAGTGGTCCATCCCAGCCCCACTGCCAACTTCTCATGTTTCCTTGGCACCCACAATCCCACATCTGGCCTCTGGAGTTCACTGGCTTCCCCCAGCAACAGTGGCCCCAACAGAAGGACAAATTCCTTCACCCCTTTGTTCAGCCAAGTGAAGGCCAACATTTCTCAAAATGAATTTCACTGGAAAACTAAGTGAGAACAAGAAATAGACTCCAGGAAATGGAAGGACATCAAAACAGCAGTGTGGCCTCGTGGAGATCTGACATCCCACGGTGGTCTTGCTGCAGATTGGCTCAGTGGGGGCTCGTGGAGGGCTCCCCAGCTCTCATACTCAGAACCTGATATTCTAGACACCAGCTTTACTATTCCCTTTATAGCTGTTGAGGTTGACACCTCTTGGCCCCAATTGATGTCTGCATTTGTTCCCCATGAAGATCACCCTGTACTTCCCTGGGGGCTGCCATTATCCCAGGAGCTTCCCTGGCTGTGACAGGCAGAAGATGTCATTTGTTGCTGTTTTGAAATCTCAGCCCTCTTCTGACCCCACGTGGAGCTGTGCCAGTCTGAGGCGAGCTGGGTTCCCAGCTCCCTTCCAGAATGCACATCTGACCCACCCTGGGCTACGTTTGCCCACCCCTCCCCGCAAAACTCCCCCTTGGCTACCCCATGAGGAATGGGTTCGAAGAACGCACATCAGGACAAGTTTACACGAGTCAGAAACCTAAACTCTACAGCAGCAGCGACAGCAGTGGCAGCGACCCGCAGAAAGCAAGAAGCTCCCAGCACCCCTCCCACCCCTCTTCTCTGCTTCTGCAGTCATGGCCACACCACCACCCTTGATCCCCATCCCTGCACACCACGAGAGGGGTTAGCAGTTTGGCACTTCACACTGAAAAGTCGTCAACCCCTGCCCTTCAGGAAAACGTCCTCAGCCGCCACATCCCATGGGCAGCTCTGCCTCCCTCCTGCCCTCCTCTGCCCCCACCGCTTCCCCAGTCCTGGCCCCTTTAGCTGTCAGGAGAGCGGACCCGAAAGACGTGGATGGTCCCATTACTGAGGGACACGACCAGGTACCTGCCATCCACCATGGTGGTCACCCGGGGCTTTTCCAGGCCATGGTAGGCCGTTAGGAAATCTCCAATAAGTGACCCCCTCGGGTCCAGGATCACCACCTTGTTGACCTCTCGAAGGGTCAGAAAGATGTAGCCCTTCTTATCCACGGACACGGAGCCTGGCTGGCAGCCGTGCAGGCCTGGGCCCCTGTATTCTCCAATCACCTGGCCCAGCCCGTCACAGACCACCACGCTATTCTGCTGCCAATCCGACCCCACGAAATTGCCCTGGGGGCTGGTGGTCAGGAACACCAATGCCCGCAGGCCCCGGTTCGCTTTACCCCCAGGGATGAATCGGGTGGCCAAGCTGCCTTCCATGTTGTACACCTCCACATGGCCTGCCACGCTGACGGCCACACGGTCCCCACTTGGCAGTGCAGCCACAGCGTGGCTGGCCTGAGAGAGGCTCAGGGCCCGGCGCCACTGCACCTCGCCATTAGGGCTGATGAGGTAGAGCCTTGCACCAGCGGAGAAGGCCACGGCACCCTGCAGAGCGGCCACACTGCAAGGGGAGCAGCCCTCAGGGACTGGCACAGTGCCCTTGTAGTCGCCATTGAGGGAGAAGCGTTTCAGCGCCCGGTTCTGCTCATCCGCCACCAGGATCTCCCGGGGGCCAAAGGGACAGAGTCCAGTGATCCGGGGAGACCGCTTGTCTCCAGGCATCCGTGTGGGGAAGCTGCAGGAAAAGATGGGCCTGGGGAGGAGGCCAGAGCCTTCCAGGTTGAGCCCAGGTGCTGGGCTGGGCTCCCGGGAAATCGACTTGAGTCTGCCTTTGAACTTTCTCTTCTTGTTGGACATGCTGCCCTTCTGGTGCTGGGCTCCTCCTTCCTCTTGGGGCATCTGGGCTCTGTCTTTTTCCGGGGTCTGGGCTCTATCTTCTCGGGGTGTCTGGGCCCTGTCCTCTTTCGGGGTCTGTGCTCCATCCCTGCCCTGGGGCTGGACTCCATTCTGTCTCTCTGCCTTGGCCACACCCTCTGTGTGGCTCTGCGCCTCATCGCCCCCCTGGGCGCCAGCTCCATCTTTCCCACTGTCAACCTGGGACTGCTGCGCCTCAAAGGAGAGCCAAAGCAGGTGGCAGTTCTTGTCCAGGAGCCCGGGATGCACCTCCAGCTGGGGCAGCAGGCAGGGGGCTGGCCCAGGAGTCCAGGGGCAGCCCTGCAGCTGCCGGAGCCTCTGGGCAATCGCCCCCTCCAGGGAGAGGATCTCGGCCTCTCGACCCAGGCTGAGCACCCGGTGGGCAAAAGCGGCTGCTGCCCTGGCCACCTGTTCATGGCCCTCGAGCTCCGCCAGCCTCTCCCGAGCAGCCTCCTCGGCAGCCTCTACATGGGCCCGTAGCTGCCCCAGCACCTCCTGCTTCTGGGCCAGGAGGGCCCGGAGGACCCGCTCAGCCGCCTCCTCCACCTGTGTCCCCACCCGGGCTGCCTGCTCCCGCAGCCGGGCCAGCGCTTCCTTCTCCACCATCCGGGCCGCCTCCAGCTCCACCAGGTTGCTGTCCACACCCGCCAGCAGCTCCTCAAGGCCAGGCCTCCGGGCACGCACGGCCTCAGCCAGGGGCAGGCAGGGGTGGTCCAGGTGAGGGCCCAGGCGGCACTCTCGGCACAGCAGCTGGGAGCAGGGCTGGCACAGGAAGCGCAGCGCCTCCCCAGGGTGCTGGGGGCACTGGGCTGCCTGGCGCTCTCGTGCCTCCTCATCATACCACCCCGCCCTGTAGCCCACCAGATCCACCACCCGGTGGGTGTGGGTCTGGCGGGTGCAGCGGTGCCCGTCGGCACAGGCCTGGCACAAGTCGTCGGCGCAGTCCAGGCACCGGGCTGTGGCCGGTCCCCCGGCGCTGGTGCCCCCTACCAGGGGACACAGGGCACAGGCTGGCTTCCCCGCACGCAGGTCTCCGCAGGCCCGGGCCTTCACCAGGTCCAGCAGCCCATTGACAAAGAAGTTGGTCTTGAAGGCTGCCACACCCGCAGGCGGCACGGGCACCGTCTCGCGGCACTCGGGGCAGCGGACGTGGCTGTCCTCGGCCAGCTGGGCCAGGCAGTCCTGGCAGTAGGTGTGCAGACAGGGCAGCGTCTTGGGTGTCCGCAGCTGCTCCAGGCAGATCTTACAGGCTAGGAAGTCGCTGCTCAGGGCCTCCAGCAGGGAGGGAGGGGATCCCTGGGAAACCATCCTGCAGGCAGGGGGTCGGGGCCAGAGGTCAGAGGGCACCCCCATTGTGCCTCCAGCCCACACTCCCGCCCCTGCCCCAGGGTCTTACCTGAATGGCCGAGAACTTCTTCTGGTCTCCTGGGGCCTTGGGCTACTTGCTCTTGAGCTAGGGAGCTGCCCCTCCCCTCCTCCTGGTATACATTCAGCAAATGTAGAAATGTCAGTGCTGCTTATGGTGTCAGGCCTGTGAGAAATGACAAGACCAGAAGTCCACAGGCCTCATGGCAAGCGCGGTCCAAGTCCTCCTGCGTGCTTGGTCCTTGGGTCCTGCTGCGTGGGGTGCCATGGGAGGGGCAGGCAGGAAGGACACAGAAGGGGGTCTGGCTGGGCAGGTCACCTTGATCCTGGCAGCTGGGGTGGGGTTTTGCAGTTCAAGGGGCCCTAATCCCCCCAGCCCCACACACCTGTCTTCTGCTAGACCCTGGGGCAGCATGGTGGCTGTGGATACCCCACTTCCTGCCCCCACTTTTCCTGAAGTAGAGATGGCAGAAAGAAGCCTGAGGGGAAGGGCTGCTCTCCTTCCAGCTGCTCGACCTCAGGGGTGGCCTTGGACTTGGCTCAACTCCTGGAGTGCTTTTCTCTTAGCCTTCCCAGCTGAATGCCTTCCAAAAATCTCTGGAGGGGAGGAGTCGGGAGCCCCAGCACAGTGGCTGAGAAGTACTTGATAAAGAGACTTGGTGAAGTGTCCCCTTTCCCGGGGCTGGCAGAAGAGCTCGGCGAGTGGGTGGGGGTCTTCCTGGAGGGAGCCCCAGGCCTTTGGCTTCCTAGGGGGGAAGGGGTGCTGCTTCCCGCCTGCCCTCGCCTCCTGCCGCCTCCTGCCTTCCGGGTGCCTCTCTCCCCTCTCCCTCCCTTCCTCTTCCTCCCGCGCTCTCCACTCCCTCCCTTTGCCTGCCTGCCCTCCCCCGACTCCCTGCAGGTCAGCCCTTACCTCGCCAGAGCTGACCTTGGCCTTCAGGACTGCAAGGGGGCCAGGGTCTGGACTCCGCTATTGCTGGGCTCCTGGAAGAGAAACAAAACTGAAACTAATCGTACTTGTGGTGCAACTTCCGTCCGGGCCGGGGACGCGGACTGGCACAGGCTCAGGCCCCGCCTTCTTCCCCACCCCAGCCGGGACCCCTCCCTCGGAGGCCCCCGCTGCAGTGCCAGGTGTTCCTGTCCCTCCAGCCTCAGGGAACTGCCTGAGTACCTGCTCTCTGAGAGTTTGTGTCCAGGGTCAGAGGGTTTATTTGTGGGAAGCAATTAGAGCTCCTCGGTGACTCAGTGACGCCACGTCCCCAGGCCAGGTCTGCAGTGCTAACACCCCAGGCAGGCATTTCTCTGTAATTCCAGCCCTGGGTGAGGCTCGTCATTCTGCAAACCTTTGCTGAGCTGCTGGAGAGACTGTGGGGGCCAGATAGGGAGGCTGGGTCTGAAAGATCAGCGAAGGCTTCCTGGAGGAGGCACCAGTTGCATACGTCTGAAGAGGGCACAGAGGTTTGGGGTTCACTAGGGAGAAATTCGGGCAGAGCTTTCTGGGAATCAGGAGCAACAAGTGTTGGGTACGGAGGAATGCACTGCCTGAGTGGCTTCAGGTATTACAATTTAGGATGGTGTTTGTGAAGGGGATGTGGGCGTGGTGGCAGATGAGCTCACCCAGGGGGATTCTGGCTGGATCACAAAGGGCCTTATATTCTACATGCCGGGTCTGCGTTTTATCAAAAAAGCCCAAAGAACCATTGAAGGATATTTTGCCCAACATTTCATGAACAATTTGCAGAACAGAGAAGTTGAAGGCATCGCAATGAAATCTCATACACCCACCACTTAGATTGTACAGTGATCGTTTTTCTGTAATTGCTTCATCACGTATCTGTCCCTGTATGTATCCCTTTGTCCACACGATGGAATTTAAGCAGGAAACTGAACTGCCGAGAACTCACTCTGGCAACAGCCTGGAGAGCGGAGGGGAGCCTGATCCCAGGGTCCAAGTGAAAATGGAAGGGCTGAGACACAGATGCCAGAGAGGTAGGTGGAAATACAGATATGGTCTCAGAAGCCACGGAGAATGCTGCACTTCCAGAAGGAGGAGGGGTCGTCGCTGTTGAACGCTCTAGACCAGATGGTCATCCAAGATGAGGACAGAAAAGTGTGTTGGTGCTCATGTGTCCGTAAGTCTATGCGTGCACCTCCCTTCACATGCCACACTCGTGGCTTCTCTGTGTGCTCATGTGTGCACCTTTGAGGAAGATTGTTGAATGCCCACTGCGGCCAGAGAGCATGCCGTGTACTGTAGAATATGCAAAGATAAACAAGATACGCCCCCTGTCCATGGGGAGTTTCTAATCTAACAGGAGAGGTGCAACAGGAGGCAGGAAGACAAAAGCCAGGTAAAGGTGTCAAAATAATCATGCCAAGGGCGTACTTTTATTGAGTACTACTTACCATGTACTTAGTGTGGGGTATTGTAAGCATAACCCAATTTAATCTTCACAATAGCCTGGCCAGATAGGTATTATTATTGCCTTCTTTTACAGATGAGGAAACTGTGTTGTAGAGAAATAAGTAAGTCACTCAAGTTCACATAATGTGCTTTGGGAATGTGGAAGTAGGAGAGTTTGATTTCTCCTAGCAATGGTGATGGCGTGGGAATCAGGAAGGCTTCATGGAAGAGGCAGGATTATGATGGTTGCCCTCCACCCTGCAACACTGAGCAATTGCTTAAAGCGCCTACAGTGTGTGCCAGGCCCCAGGAAGAAAGGTCCCTGAGGTCCCCCACACTCAGGAGAACAGACTCCTAGGACCCCCGACTACGCCCAGGAATAAGTGCTACCATGGAGACTCGTAGACAGAGGGCGCTCAAAGCCCCAGGAGAGGAGGAGCTTGGTGCTGCTGGGAGGTGGGGGTGGAAGGGGGGGGTTCCTCAGGGTAGGTTGGGGAAGGGCTTTTCAGCAGGGACCACAGGTGGCCAGTCTTCTAGAAACTGGAGTGTGAATAGGTGCTGGGAAGTGGCTTTAACATTTCCTGTGGAGAATCCTATAAGGCCTTAAGGTCATGGGGCTCCATTACAGGATTTTCGTCAGGCAAATGTGGGCTTTGTTCTCTATTAGAGGGGGTGGCCAGCAGAGGTTTGTAATCTTAAATTATAAAACTAATGAGAATAATTTAAAATAAGATTCAAAACACTGATATCATCATTGTAACACAGTAACTATTTCTTTCCTTTGGTCTCTGTCCCTATGAATATATTTTACATAATTGTCTTTATAGTGTATATACACGTTTTGTCTATAAACATAATGCGTATCAGCTGTTAAGCAAAGCTGGGGGAGGCCATTGCTCTGGCCTGAGCCCTGCACTAGGGCCCAACACACCAGCCCAAACCAAAATGGAGTCACTTGCGCCAAATGCCACATAATCAAACGGAAACTTTCAGGAAATAGATAGATCCACAAACAGACCAGTTTTTCTTTAAACCAGGAGATTACAGTCTACCTGAGTCACCATAATAAGGAAGTTCCCTCTGCTCTAACCTTACAAAAAAGTAACCTGAAGCAACTTGATATTGACGAACTAATTTTTTTTCTATTATTGTTTCCTTGTTCCTACCTTACAAAACCCACTGTTGTGCTATTTTGTAGAATGGCAGGCTGCCCCATTCATGAATAATGAATAAAAACCAATTAGATCTATAACTAAATTTGTCCTAATTGTGTCTTTTGACACATTTTCTATGTTTCTACGAATACATATTCTTCAGAGTTATTGGTGTTAATTGCTGCATAAATTATACACCTTAATTGATTTAACTATTTAGTAATATACTAGTAAACGGACCCCTGCCTCCCCACCCCAAAAAAACCCCTGATTTGTAGCTTTTGCCAATTTCTGTAACGTAAACATGGTGTAAGTACTCCCAGCATGGTTGGTTTCCTGCCACCAATGGTTTAACAGTCAGCCTGCAAAATTCCTAAAATTTAACAATGAGCTCTCTGGAGCCGGTACTCTTTGGAAGTTTTTAGAACGTTCTCTTTGATCTCAGGGTTCTGAGTTTCACAGTGAGAACATTCTGCTGGGCATTTGGTGGCTGTTTTCAGTCTTCCAACAGGTTGTCTTGAGGTCTGGGAAGTTCTGGAGTGTTTTGTTGCTCTCCTCCTGCCTGTTTCTCTGTTTCCTCCCCTGGGACCCTCCTCATTCAGATGTCAAACTTCCTGGGTGGCTCCTCTAATTTTATCTTTTATTTTCCATTTCTTTCGCTTTTTGTACTGCTTAACTTAAGCCTTCCACCCTTCTATTGTGTTTTTCAAATCTGCTGTCACGGTTTTAATTCATGAGTTCCTTTTTTCTTTTTTTATACTATATTTTTACTTCACAAAATCAATATCTTACCTCTCTGAGGATTAATGATAGTGCTGTGTGTATGTGCTAGTTTTCCTTTCCTTACATAGTTTCCATTTCCTATAAATTATTGTTTCCTTCCTCCCTTCCTCCCTCCCACATACATATATATTTTTTTATAGATAGGGTCTCGCTCTGTCGCCCAGGCTGGAGCACAGTGGCGTGATCACAACTCACAGCAACCTCAAACTCCCCGGCTCGAGCCATCCTCTTGCCCCAGCCAGTGTTTTATATTTTAAAATTAGCTTTAAGGCCGGGGTGCAGTGGCTCACGCTGTAATCCTAGTACTCTGGGAGGCTGTGTCAGGAGGATTACTTGAGCTTAGGAGTTTCAGACCATCCTGAGCAAGAGCAAGATCCCATCTCTACAAAAAAAAAGAAAAGAAAAATTAGCTGGGCATGGTGGCGCGTGCGTGTAGTCCCAGCTACTTGGAGGCTGAGTCAGGAGGATCGCTGAGCCCAGGAGTTTGAAGTTGCAGTGAGCTATGATGAGCTACTGTACTTCAGCCTGGGCAACAGAGAGAGACCCTGTCTCAAAAACAAAAACAAAAACAAAAAATATATAAAATAAATTTAGCTTTAGGCTGGGTGTAGTGACTTACACCTGTCATCCCAGCACTTTGGGAGTGCAAGGAGGGAGAATCATAGCAACCTCAAACTCTTAGACTCAAGTAATCCTCCTGCTCAGCCTTCTGAGTAACCTGACTACAGGCATGTGCCACCATACCTGGCTAATTTTTTCTATTTTTTAGTAGAGACAGGGTCTCGCTCTTGCTCAGACTGGCCTTGAACTCCTGACCTCAAGCAATCCTCCCACCTTGGCCTCCCAGAGTGTTAGGATCGCAGGCCTGAGCCACTGCACCTAGCCAGAATACACATTCTGTGTAGTGGGCTATACCAGCTAGGTGTGTGCAAGTACACTCCCA